CTTGATATCCTTCTGCAGGGAATGGTCCCTTCTTACAACATGACTAAAGTATGTGAGATGAAGTTTGGCCATTCTCACTTCCAAGGAACATTTTGGATGCACTTCTTTCAGGATGGATTTGTTCATTCTTTTGGCAGTCCATGGTACTTTCAGCATTCTGTAACACCTCGACTCAAAAGCATCAACTCTTCTTCGGTCTTCCTTATTCATTGTCTGCCTCACATGCATATGAGGTAATTGAAAATATCATGGCTTGTGTCAGGTGCACTTTAGTCTTTAAGGAGATTATCTTTGCTCTTCAGCACCTGAAAGAGGTCTTTTGCAGCAGATCTGCCCAATGCAATACGTCTTTTGATATCTTGACTGCTGCTTCAATTGGTGCTGATTATAGAACCTAGTAATATGAAGTCTTTGACAACTTCAGACTTCTCTCCATTTATCATGATGCTGCTCATTGGTTCAGTTGTGAGGATTTTAGTTTTCTTTATGTTGAGGTATAATCCATACTGCAGACTGTAATCTTTGATCTTCATCAGTAAGTGCTTACAGTCATTCTAATTTCAGCAAGCAAAGTTGTGTCATTGGTGTATCGTAGGTTGTTAATAAGTCTTCCTCCAATCCTGATGCCATGTTTTTCTTTATATAGTCCAGCTTCTCGGATTATTTGCTCATCATACAGATTGTAAGTATGGTGAAAATATACAGCCCTGACACACTTCCTTCTTGATTTTAAACCATGCAGTATTCCCTTGTTCTGTTTGAACTGCAGCCTCCTGGTTTATGTATAGGATCCTCATGAGTACAATTAAGTGTTCTGGAATTCCCATTCTTCTCAATTTGTCTACAAATTTGTTATGATCCACACAATCAAATGCTTTTGTGTGGTCCATAAGACACAAGTAAACATCTTTCTGGTATTCTTTGCTTTCAGCCAAGATCCATCTAACATCAGCAGTGATATCCATCATTCCATGTCCTCTTCTGAATCCAGCTTGTGTTTTTGGAAGCTCTCTGTTGATATACTGCAGCAACCATTTTTGAATTATCTTCAGTAAGATTTTACTTGAATGTGATATTAATGATAGTGTTCAATAATTTCCACATTCTGTGGGATCACCTTTCTTTGCAATGGGTACAATTATGGATCTCTTCTAGTCAGTTGGCCAGGTAGCTGTCTTCCACATCTCTTGCCATAGCCGACTGAATGCCTTCAGTGTGGCATCTGTTTGTTGAAACATCTCAATGGGTATTCCATCAATTCCTGGAGCCTTGTTTTTCACCACTTCCTTCAGTTCAGCTTCGACTTTTCCTTCAACACCATTGGTTCTTGATCATATGTCACCTCCTCAAATGGATGAACATCGGCCAATTCATTTTGGTACAGTTTTTCTGTGTATTCCTTCCATCTTCTTTTGATGTTTCCTGCATCATTCAGTATATTGCCTGTAGAATCTTTCAATATTGCAACTTGAGGTTTCAATTTTTTCTTTAGTTCTTTCACCTTGAGAAATGCCTAGCATGTTTTTCCCTTTGGCTTTCCAACTTCATGTCTTTTCCCATTTCATAATAATAATTGACTTTGTCTTCTCGAGCTGCCCTTTGAAATCTTCTGTTCAGCTCTTTTATTTTGTCATTTCTTCCATTTGCTTTAGCCACTCTTTGTTCAAAGGCAAGTTTCAGAGTCTCTTCTGACATCCATGTTGATCTTTTTTTCCTTTCCTGTGTTTTTAATGACCTTTTGCTTTCTTCATGGATGATGTTCTTGATGTCATCCCATGATTCTTCTGGTTTTCAGTCATTGGTGTTCAGTGCATCAAATCTATTCTTTAAATGGTCTCTAAATTCAGGAGGGATATATTCAAGGTTGTATTTTGGCTGTCGTGGACTTCTTTTAATTGTCTTCAACTTGAACTTGCATATGAGTAGTTGATGTTCTGTTCTACAGTCAGCTCCTGGCCTTATTTTGGCTGAAGATATTGAGCTTCTCTATTACCTCTTGCCACACATGTAGTTAATTTGATTCCTGTGTTCTCCATCTGGTGAAGTCCATGTGTATAGCCACTATTTGTGTTGTTGAAAAAGGGTATTTGCAACGAATAAGTCATTGGTCATGTAAAATTCTATCATGATTTCCAGCATCATTTCTATCACCAAGGCCAAATTTTCCAACTACTGGTGAATCTTCTTTGTTTCCAACTTTTGCATTCCAATCATCAGTGATTATTAACACATGTTGATTGCCTGTTCAGTCAATTTCAGACTGCAGAAGTTGGAAAAATCTTCAATTTCCTCATCTTTGGCTTTGGTGGTAAATTTGAATAATAATAGTATTAACTGGTCTTGCTTGTAGGAGTATGGATATTATCATATTACTAACAGCATTGTACTTCAGGATAGATCTTGAAACACTCTTTGTGATGATGAGTGCCACACCATTTCACTTCAATTTGTCATTCCTGGCATAGTAGATCATGTAGTTGTTTGATTCAGAATGGCCAAAACTGGTCCATTTCAGCTCACTAATGCCTAGGTTATCAATCTTTATGGGTCCCATTACATTTTTTGAGAACTTCAAATTTTCCTAGATTCATGCTTCGTACATTCCACATTCTGTTTATTAATGGACATTTGCAGCTGTTTCTTCTCATTTTGAGTTGTGCCACATCACCAAATGCAGGTCCTGAAAGTTCTACTTTATCCATATCATTAAGGTTGGCTCTACTTTGATTAAGCAGCTCTTTTCCAGTCATATCTTGAGTGCCTTCTGGCCTGAGGGCTCATCTTCTGGCATTGTATCAGACAAGGTTTCAGGGCTATTCATAAAGTTTTCCAGTAATATATCAGACAGTTTCAGTGCTACTCATAAGGTTTTCCCTGGCCAGTTCTTTGAGAAGTGGATGGCCTCTTCCTTCTTCTGAGTCTGCCTCAGTCTGGAAGCTCCGCCAAAATCCGTCCACCATGGGTAACCCTGCTGGTGTTTGAAACACCAGTGGCACAGCCTCCAGCCTCACAGCAACATACAAGCCACCACAGTGTGAGAAACTGACAGACAAGTTCGTCTCCCTTAGCTTCCTGCCTAGGAGGTCTCTTACTTCTTCTGGCCGTTGGCTCTGGCTACTGCTTCCTGCCTGGGAGCTCTCCTTACCTGATTTGGCTGTTGGCTCTGGCTGCCACTTCCTGCTGGGGGCTTTCCCTCTTACCTATGGTCCTGGCTGCCATGTAGGTATGTATAGTAAAAAAATGTAGAGTAAAAAATCTGGAAGTGTACATCAAAATACTTAGTGTTTTTCTCTTGATGGTTGCTTATGGCAGATTCTTTTTATTTTTTATCATTATCATTTATTTTCTGATAGGCACTGCTGTTCATTGCTTTTAGTATTCAGAATGAACAATAAAGGTATTTTCATTTTGTAAAACATTGAATGAATTGACTTTTTTTTTTTTTTTGTATTCAATATTTTGTTTTCTATTCCAGCAGGTATTATATTCATTTCAGATGGAATAGTAAATTGATTACTAGGATATTAGGATTGATTTTATGATTTAGGAACATGATGCTGAAGGATATTTAGAGCTTTTAGGAAAGTGATGCAAATATTAGAATATCTTTTAATTATTTATCTGGAAAGAAGGTTGGGCAATTTACTTCCATAGAGATACCACCTTGGAAACCCAAGGAGGGGTTGCTATGAGTTGGACCTGACTTGACGGCAGTGACTTTGGTTTTTTAAGTACTAAAAGTTGGATATCCAAGATCAGTCAACTTTAGTGATATAAACTGCTATTTTTTTTAGTTGAATATTTAAATTAAGGCTTTATTGATTAATTAAACATATTTTTTCAAGTGCCTTTTTGAAAAAGACAACTTTTTTGAGGCACACTTTACTATAAAATTCAGCTACTTTAAGCATGCTGTAATTTTTAGTAAATTTTCTCCAGCTGTCACCATTATCCCACTTTAGAAGATTTTTCTCTCACCAACAGATCCTTTGTAATGAGTACCATTCTTGATTCTAGATCAAGGATAGAATTGATGACAATAAGAGGAATATCTTTATGATTTCTCTAAAATGAATACAAAATGTACTGTTTCTGCTGTATTCTCTTGCAGTCAGGGCGCACATTTCTAATATTGTAATTCTTATTTAGGAACTCTGGTGGTATGGTGGATAAGGTATTTGGCTGCTAAACAGAAGATTGGCAGTTCAGACTCACCAGATGCTCTGATGAAGGAGGATGGGGCAATCTACTTCTGTAGTGATTTACAGCCTTGGAAATCCAACAGGGGTCGCTATGAATCAGAATTGACTTGATGGCAGTGGGTTTGGTTTTTTTTGTTTAATGACCCACATGGATTATGTTTGAATTTGCACAACTTTTAGTGGCAAAAATTTGCATCAGAGGAAAAAATTCTTTCATGTTCATTTTAGAAAGTCCCAGTTAAATGTTTTTTAGTTTGACTTTAGTTTTTGATCTTTTACAGCTGGTTTATTTTTAGCAGATCACAGTAGAAGAGATTGACAAGTTAATGAAAATCCTTTTTAATTATTCACTGCATGTAAACATCAAGACCTTTTTAGGCAGGTTATGCTCGTGGATAATTAAAATGCAAAATAACTAAATAGATTGACAGTTTATCATTGATCTGGTAATAAATGCAGTTGGCAAAATTGGTATTTTCTTTCTAACTCACCAGAGGGCGCTCTTTTCCAGGGTATTTTATCTCTGACCTAGTGAATTATTACGTATTACACTTAAAAAAATTTGAGGCTGTTATTGGAATCTAGAGTAGGATTATTTGGAGACTTGCTTTCTTTTGTAACTTCCAGTAAATTTTGTTTTGTCAGCTGCTTTAAAAGAGTATCATTAAAAGGGGCTCTACAAGCAAGTCAGTCTGAAATATTTGGAGAGTAGTATGTCTAGGGTAAAATACCTCTTGGATTTAGTCTGCTTTTGCTAACAGCTTTATAATGTCACTGTTTCTGTTTATTCATGTTAAGGTTTCTGATCGGGTAGAACGGCGGCTTCAGGAAATAGAAAGAGAGATGCGCACAGAAAGAGAGTTGGTGGAAAAACATTGGGATCAACTGGGGCTTATGTCCTTGCAGCTACAGGAGGTTTGTGAAAAATGCCTTCTTGGAATATAAATTTGAATTTGTATAGTTATTTAGCTATTTTAAAATGCCTGTAGTTCCTTAGTTGTTGCATATATAGCATATATAACAGAAAAGTTAACAAATGAGAAGTTATAATTCAGTGTATGAAATCAGACCTGTGTGGCTCTAAATCCAGTGTCTACTGGTTGGTGGCAGTATGAAGTTGGGCATGTTCTTTAACTTCTCTAAGCGCCAGTTTCCTCATCTGGAAAATGAAAATAATAAGAGTATCTACAAAATCAGACTAATGTAAAGATCATTCAGTTAATGCTGGTAAAAGCACTTAGCCTAGTGTCTAGTATGTGCTCAAGACATGTTGAATAAAAGTATAATTGCTATGATTAATTTTTTTTGGCATGAACCAGACTAGGGGTCAGCAAAGTATGGCTGGCCCGTAGGCCAAAGTGGGGCACTACCTGTTTTTGTAAATAAAGTTTTATTGGAACATAGCCATACCCAATCATTAATGCATTTTTTTGTAGCTCCTCTCATGCTAGAACAGTGCAGTTGAATAATTGTGAAAGAGGTTGTATGGCCTGTAAAGCCTAAATGATCAACCTTTTGTTGAAAAAGTTTGCCAACCTTTCTCTTCAACTATCATCAAGCCAGTTCAAAATGGTGGTGGTTGCCCTTTAGCGAACTTCTAATAAACTTTAGTTTGAAATTTCAGTTGAAAAAATTAGAACAAAGAATTTCTGTATACCATTCACCTAGATTTCCACAATATCCACATTTTGCAATACTTGGCTTTATTATTTTTCTGTATTTATCCATACATATGTAATTTTGTTTTCTGAATATGAGTAAGTTGAAGACATGATGACTCTAAATACTTCTAGATAGTTTGGTAGGTGTTCCTGAACCCATATTTTCTCTTCCATAATCACTGTACAATAATAAAAATCTGGAAATTAACATCACTATAACAATATGATTTAATCTATAGATTTTATTCAAAGTTCACCACTGATGTTCTTTTCTGGTCCAGGATAGGATACACTATAGGATCTTGCGTCGTATTTGGTTGTCATGCCTGTTTTGTCTCCTTTAATTTGGAATGGTTTCTCAGTTTTCCTTTGTCATTCATGATCTTGACAGCTTTGAAGAGTACTCATCAGGTACTTTGTACAGTGCCCTCATTTTGGGTGTATTGAATCTTTAGGGCTAGATTCAGTCTATGGACTTTTGGCAGGAAACCCAGAGAATTGGTGTTGTGTTCTTCCCAGGAGCCGTATGATGTAGATTTATCACATTACTGATGAAAATGTTAAATGCTTGATGGAGGCAGGGCCTGCCAGGTTTGTCCGCTGTAGAGTTACTATTTTTTTTTTTTTTTCCCTTTTAATTCATAGGTATTTTATGAGGAGATTCTTTGAGTTTTGAAAATACCCTATTTCTCATTGTACTTCCACTCACTAATTTTAGCATCTAGTGGTGATTCTTGCCTGAAACATCTAATCTGGAACATTTATTATTTGGAATTCTACTGTGAGAAAGAGCCTTCTCTTTTCTTCCGTGCATTTATCTCTTTGTCTTGATTTGGGAGCCATCAGGGTGCAGTGGTTAGGTACACAGCTGCTAACCAAAAGGCCAGTGGTTTGAATCCATCTGCTGTTCCTGTGAGAGGAAGATGTAGCAGTCTGCTTCCATAAAGATTTACAGCCGTGGAAACCCTATAGGGAAGTTCTACTTTGTCATATAGGATCACTTATTAATCAGAATTGACTTAGTGATAATGAGATATTGATAAGAATTCATGGATTCTTATTTTATGTAAAATCTAAATATTATGAAACAAGAAAACCAGAGAATTAAAATAAAAGGAAATTTTGTTTTATGAAATGGGTTTCTCTAAAGCTTATATTGTACTTATGTATTTATATGTGCTTGTAGATCATTGCCCTTTATGAATGTGACAGAGAAATTTTAAGTATTAACAGATACTGCTAATTGAAAATTGGGAACAAAAATTGCAATACTGAAATTATAATGAAAATGAATAGAAAAATCAGCTTTTGTTTTCTAAAACTTCATTGTCCAAAAAGGAGGCATACCCCTGTTGGTTGATAATTAACTTTGAAGAGGGTATTTTGTTGAATAATTAGATACAGCATGTGGGTAGCCTTTTTTTTTTTTTTTAAAAAAAACAAAACCTTGATTTTTTTATACATTTGTTCTCAAAGCAAATTGCATCTGGTGAGCATAAGAATAGTACTGAAGAGACAATTGTTCTTTTTTGCAAGAGAAAATTAGAGAAATTTTCCATACTTATTTTCTTCTGTCTTTGCAGAAAGCACAAAATTACAAAGAAAGAAGGAGCGGAAGATTGCTTCCCACTCCTGCTCTGAAAACCAGAAACCAGAGCCTGAGTATCTGCATTGTAATTGTCAGTTTGACTGAAAGCTTGAGCTGTGATTTGGAATTTAACCTCTGGCAATACAATGGAGTATCACTATTGATATGAAATGTTTAATTTCCTATTTTGCCACTTTAAGTGGTGACCTATATGCTTTTAAAGGTGATTTTGGATTAAATAGTGCAGTATAAACTGATGCATTAGCCTGATGCATTTTCCTAATGTCAAGTTAAGTGACTTAGACTGTTCTAGAAAGGTCGTTTAAGAAGAGAAAACATTTTGCTTTCTTTTTGACATGAAAAATACTTAAGAAAATGCCTATACTGCATGATAGTAGTGGTTGATGATTTTTGTTTCTGATTATGATGAGAAACTGAATCTATAGCTGAATAAGTATAAGGTGGTTCGGGAGTTTATTTCTGTCTGATCCCAGAGCCTAGACTTTCAGCCTCTGTGCTCTTCTGCCTTCCTACATGTATAGCTCAATGGTCGTGAACATTGTGGCGTTTAAAAGTTGTTCAGCAGTTAAGAGTCCTCATTAAAAGATCCAGGATTTCCAAGTATTATTCAATTACAGAGAGGAAACCTGTGGTTTTTACTGGACCTGCTCCTTTTTAGTGATATAACGAGGTCCTGAGGTTTGTGGAGTTCTACCTGTTCCCATGGAATGAAAGACAGAGTATTCATCATCAGAAATCGATGGGGGAAAAGTGACTTTTTTTCTTGTTTAGCTTTTAAAGATTTGTTTACTTTCTTTTTTTCCTCCTGGTTTGAGCAAGGGGCTGGACATGTTCTAGAATCCACTTCCTTTTTTGAACCTCAGGTGCTCATGGGTCACATGAATCTCAGGTTTTCTAAAACTTGATAGGGACCTGAACTGCCCTGCAGACTCGTAATGTCTTATTTTAAACACTTTGTTTTGGGATCTCACTGTTGTTGTTGTTATGTGCCATGGAGTCTGACCTGACTCATAGCGATACCTCCTTGGGTTTCTGAGGCAGTATCAGTACGGAAGTAGATTGCCCCATCTTCCTTCCGAGGAGTGGCTGATGGGTTTGAACCGCCAGCCTTCTGATTAGCAGTCAAGTGCCTTAGGCACTATGCTACCAGAGCTTCCTGGGATCTCACTAGATGTCTTTTTAGGAGAAGTGGTGGTTCTGTTACGTTGAGCTTGTACTAATCAAATGCAGATCTTTTTAACCTTATAACCATCAATCAGCCTTACCTTGTTGAACCATTGTACAAATATCAACATGTTTGTCATTGGACTACATTTTGCCTTATGGTATTATAAACTCCTTTTGCTCCGAAGCTTGATAATAACATTATGATTAGTTAAATTTACTGGGGTGGGCATAGGCACAGTTGGCTCTGGGATCAGAGCCCAAGTAAGAACCCTCTTTTGCAGTTCCAAAAATTACATAAAATCCTAGATAACATCTCTAACTCTTGACTGTTAGTGCCTGGGAATTCCTGGTTTGCTGTTTACTAGCTATTTCATTTAAATTGAGTGTGATTTCTTTACCTTCATTTGAATTACTTGAGAGGAAAAACAAATACTACGTCTATATTTGCATATGGTTTTCAGAGTATTCCATAGCATATTAAAATGCTAGTCTTCCCTCAACCATCAAGGTATTCCATGCTTACATATTACCTAAGGTGATTTAGATGTCTTAGGCTCAACGTGCTTCATGGAGAAGTCTATGAGGCAAGCATGGCATGGAATATCAATAGAAGGTGATGAAGATTAAGTGAAAAATCAAGTCTTTAAGATACAGGTTCATTTCAGTGGTTTTCAGTCTGTGTGCCCATGGAAAACCAGGTTATATGAGCCTTGCCAATAAAATAAAATCATAGGAGCCTTTTTCTAATTTATAGAAAAACAAAAAGATAGAATAATAATAATAATAATAATAATAATAAAGAAAAACCAAACTCACTGCCATGGAGTTGATTCCGACTTATAGCGACCCCTACTATGTTTCTGTGGTGGTAAATCTTTATGGAAGTAGATTGCCCCATCTTCCTTCTGCAGAGCAGCTGGTGGGTTTGAAACACCAACCTTCTGGTTAGCAGTCAAATGCCTTAGGCACTGTGCCACCAGAGCTCTTAATAATAAAAAAGATAGATTAAATTCTTTTCTTCTTTCAGCATCTCTACCATTTTGAAAAACTTAATAAAGAAGTATATATGCATTCCTGCCCAGCAATGTAATCGTGGTTCCAGAGATGCCAAGTTATGTGGATATTTATAAGAAATGACTGAATATTAATGTATTTAGTTTGGACTCATTTAGGGAGAAGCATCTATAGCAGCCAAATTTTTTTTTCTTATGTCTTCATAATAGCTGTAGCATCTCCCTTGAGACTTCTGTGTCAAAGCACAGGAGAACCTCGTCAGGCAAATGTCCTCACTTGGCGCCATTGGCCTCATCTCCTGCATTTTGACTCTTCTAATTTCTTTTGGAGAAGAGATGCATTTCTAAGGCCCTGCTAGATTTTGGACTCATCTTTACTTATCTTTCCAATGCTGAATTGCAAAACTTTTGGTTAGCTGTTCACTTTAGCCTCCTACTCTTGTTTCCATAGTTGCTTCTGTTTTT